TTGAAGGGCTTCATGGATTCGTGAGACGTTTGCTCCTTTGGTCACCTTAACCACAAGATAAGATAATAGGACTGGCATACAAATCAGCTGTGTGCATGCCAACACATTCTTATGCAGAAATTTTGTTATCAGTGTTATCTAAAACGAATTGAGAGTTATTTCAGTTATTATTTGGAGGACTGGTAAAACAGAAATGAATTCAACAATAAATAATGTACTTGTAGTGTCTGATGTTTTCCCTGTTTTTCCTGTGAGATGCAATTGACTTTGTTTACACTGGAAGCAAGTCAAGTTAACCAGATAGCTAAAGTTTTTGTGCTGTTAATTTATAATGAATTCCACTAATGACTGAGATTTTGTTTGCAACAGTTGTAAAAAAAAAAGAAAGGATAGAATAATGAACCACATTAGCTGTGGACTGATAGATCTTAATACTCTGTCTACTCGCACACAGAAAGGTGAAGTACTAGGCTATGTTGCTGTGTTTCCACTACATGGTCAGCTCTACTTGACTCAACAGGTACTCTTTATGTTTTCCACTAGACCAACCTGATCTCAAAGAAATACATGAAACAACCATGACCTCCTAGCACCCCACATTATGTGGTGGTGTCATGTATTGTGTTGATATGTGCCAGCCCCACAGGAGCAATGCCAGTGGAAAGTCAGGGCCGTTTGTCATGGTTGACACATCAATTCCCTGGTTCATTGATGTCATGCAAAGGGCAGGAGTTAATGTTACAACCCCATAGGTAGTATAAAGAGCAAGAAAGACTGCATAGGAAGGAGGTCAGGGTGATGGATCAATCAAATTTTTGAAGTATCTCCAGAAAACAGTATGTTGAAAACCTTCTGAGATGAATGCTCTGTTGACATAATATGTAGGATGCATTATAAGCTGATGGTATCATTAGAAAATCAAATCAGAAAATCTGAATATTTCCTTATTTAAACTTTATTTTCCTGTTCATTTTTTGGTGACATTTAGAGCTCCCATCCATTCCAAAGGACGGATATTTTTGAGTAAATCCTGAGTAAAAGCTATAAAGCTTTCATGTGATTCTTTGACATGTATAACTAATAGAACATGACGTTTACTTTGAATACAAAATATGTGCTTTAACGATATGATTTATAGATTAAAATGTGCTTTGTGCTTCCTCCCTGCCTCACAGTTGTCCATGCTTGTTCAAAAAGGGGACATGGCTCCACTGCAGTCCACTTCAGCTGGTGTGGAACACTGTGATTTAAAGGAGGATCTAAGCGGGATAACTTTGCGTACTTACATTCTTATCGTAGTTATGTCACATTCTATGACGGACTTAACATCATTTCACAACGTACTTATATCCTGTACATAACAAGTATAGTTATTTAAAGGCGCTGTATGTAAGAATGTGGCCAAAACGGTTACTGCACTCAAATTCAAAATACTGCCGCGAGTCGCATCCGCCCCCCCCCCCTCCCGTACAGTTTCGAGGTAGATTCGCTGGAGACTGATTTGTTTGCCCACGGGCGGCTGCCGTGGCAGGGCTGCATCGCCGCGTCCTTGATCTTCAGTCTTCCAGCGGACCGTTCGAGCAAGTCCGGCTTCTCTGCTGCTAACGCTGCTGCCGGGATACAGCTAAGGAGCCGGCTGCTAATGCTATGTACCGGGACACTGCTAATGCTGCTTGCCGTGCTGCTGTAGCTCAGTCGTAGCTGTAACCGATGCTGAGACTCTACTGACTGCGTGACTGGTAGACGGCAGTGGGTGGCACAACAGGCCAAAACACAAATTCAAAACATAAACAAGATTTGCGGACCATAAAATTTTTTTTTAAATGTGAATATTCTGGCTGTACTACTGTTGTCGTTGAGATCAGTATGTTATATGAACATTATTCCTTAGTCTCTGTGACATATTAGGAGGATTTTATGACTATTGCTTTAGATTTCTTACATATATTCTTACTCCTTTAAGACGAAAGCGCAATCTTTTTCTAAACCCAACCCTAATGCAGTGTTCAGAGGTCATGGTCATTTCACGTATTTCTGTAAGATCAGACAGTACTCCCTCAGTGTGGGTGGAATTCGAAGCTGATTGTCATCGCATATGGCACATGACTTGTTAATTACACAAGCTACTGCCACACAATATGAAATAGCAACAACAACCCTGGAAAAATGACCGTAAACAACAGCACATAGCACAACAAAAGCACTAGCTATTAGCACAAGCTAATTACCTAGCTAGCTCCTCAGGGCTCCATAAAGCAGTTGTTGAAATGTTGATTTTACACAAGTTTATGAGTAAAACAGGCTTGGTTGTTAGTTTCCAGTAGAAAGCCAACTTAAGGAAACTAAGATTTCAAGCAGAGAGTAGGGTTCCATCATGGACTCCAACAAGCCACCCTCCTTCCCATTGTTTGCAGGTCTATGGCTGTACGTCCTGTCCATCAGGTTCCTGTTGGAACCACTCTTGCCATTGTCTTTCTCAGTGGCTCTATTATCATTTTTCAGTTTTTTAAAATGCTTTTTCCTACACTGTTTGAATGTCTTGTTGCTAACAGTGTAGACATTTGCTGGTATATAGCACTGTGTTGCGCAGGTGATGATTCTAGTGATGATTCTCTCTTACCAATCAGTGGTCTGCAATGTTTTAACTCCACCTTTTAGTATCGGCTAAGCATGCTTGGAATTGGAATTGAGGTGGTACTAAAAAAAGTACCAGGTACTATCCAAAGAACTTATAATTGACTGGAGAAATAAAAGAGAGACATACACACCACTGCACATCAATGGCAAGGAAGTAGAGAGGGTTGCAAGCCTAAAATTCCTGGGCACTCACATCACAGAGGACCTCAAATGGTCAGTTAATACCAGCATGCTGGTTAAAAAAGGCCAGAAATGGTTATACGTCCTGAGAACACTCAATAAGGTCAACCTATCACAACAACTGCTGATGTCCTACTACCGCTGCACCACTGAGAGTGTCCTGACCCATGGCATCATGGTGTGGTATGGGAAGGCTCTGCAGAAAATCATAAAAACTGCAGAGAAAATCACCAACTCCCCACTACCAGCCCTGAACAACATCTTCACTTCACGTTGTCTGCATAAGTCACACAACATCCTCAAAGACTCTTTCCACCCTGCCCATCACCTTTTTGAACTGTTGCCCACTGGCAGAAGATACAGATCCATCAAAACACGCACCACACAATTCCTGGACAGTTTTTACCTCACAGCCATAACCGCACTGAACAATGAACTCAAAAATTGTGCAATATAGAAAATACAGCACTCATGTTTTTTATGTGCAATATATTACCATGTGCAATATATTACCATTTTTAAAAGTAAATGGTCACCTTTTTAAATGAAATCTACCTCTATGCACACAATGGCACTGTAAATGTCACTCTTGACTTGTTTTGATTTGACTGATTGGTTGACTGTGTTAATGTGTGTTGGAATGTATGGCAGGGTGATTCTATTATATTTATTATTACTTTTTGTATAGCTATGAGGCCGCATCCTGATTGTGCAATGAAATTTTGTTGTAAATTCTTTTACAATGACAAATAAAGTATCTAATCTAATCTAGCTCCAGTTGAGCTGTACCATACAATGGAAAAGCAGCGTATAAGCACTGGACAGATGAAACTCAAAAATTAAAAAAAATTACACATGGACAGAGCTAGAGTCAGTGTTAAAAGGAGCCTCTCATTTGCATTAGATGAGGAAACTAGGCTAGAAAACAGACAAGCAAATTAATTTTTTTATGATCTCAGCTTTGTGTCGTTGTGTACTTACTACACGGTTCACATCCCAGGATAGACTATATTACAATAAAATGCTGAGCAATCAGAACTTCTGAAATGTCAAAGGCTTTTTAAATATATTTCTATTTTGTATTTGTGTCACTTTGATAGGCAAGGACTTTACTATTATAACTGCCCCATCATGATATCCTGCGTATTAGCAGCCCACGAATGACATTACGTCCTTAATGTAAAGTTATGTACGAATGTAAAGTTAGGCCCTGATCACACAGAAAGTGTTTTGGAGGATGCAAAACATGAGGTGTACCACACTGCCTTTTGTGTTTTTAATTGAATGCCACATGTAAAAATATGCCTGCTTCTCCTTTTAATTGTTTCCAGTTTTTATCTCAAAGTAATTAGTATCTAGTTCCTAAAATGGACAGATAGAGGGTACTTGCTGTAGCTTTGGTTGAGGGTGAGAGGCTGTTAGCAAATAGTTTGTTGGGCACAGGGAAACAGAGATCTGTGTGGGTACATGAGACCCTAAAAAAGAGATTGGATCACAGGAGGACCACCAGCTGGTCCAGGAGCTTCGCCTCCATGATGGCTGTTTCAAGTACTGCACTTATATGCTTCCACGGCTGCTGTTTTCTATCGAGATGGCGGTAAGTGCAGTTTGTAAAGTCGTATAGCTCTGGGTATCCACCAGTTTCTTCTCCATTATTTACCAACTGTAAACTTGTTGTCGTGACCACATGCAAAAACAGTGAGCAAAAAGCTGCCTCCAGCTGCTAAAACGTTTTCTGTGTGATCAGGTCTCTACTGTGGTTAGGTTTTGGAAAGAAAACATGGTTGGGCTTCTTTAGTTTTAGGCAAGAAAAGTTAATGTGGTTAAGTTTAGGGAAAAGAAACATTGTGAGGATTTACCTTAAAATAACTCAAAGTTCACTCAAAGTTATACAGTTCCGAACATGCATCTTCTAGGGAAAATCCCAGGGGAAAGTCCTGTGTTTCCCAAGAGCGCTCGGGACGGCTTCCATGTTTACTCCCATCAGTGCATTCGTATGTGATAGCAGCCTTCAAAAATATGTGGAATATGTATGAATTTGGGTGCATTACTTTTCGTAGGAAAACGCATGAACGGTTTTTGAAAACCGCCCCAACAGCAGCGTGTCTAATTTGTTCAAAATACACGTAGGATGTATAGTATATTATGCCTACCTTACAGTTAAATGTGTTTGTTGTCTGCAGCTATGGAAGAGCTGGATGGAGATGAGGTCAGAGTGTCCTCCAGGGGACGCTTTGCTGAGAGAGACATCGTCCAGGTAAAGTTTATTCTACATAGGCTCAGCCCTGTAATGCTCATGAGTCACAGATCTGATGTTCTTCAGTGTGACCAGCAAAAATCTGCAGCGAGCTGACTTTGGATTGGTGAAAAACAGGGACATTTTATTCTCGATGCAGGGTTTTAAACAATATTTGCAAATATACTTTGTTAACAGTTGTAGGACTCCCTATCCTTTGGGCATGCATCCCAGCCTCGGCTTTGCAAACTGCCTGCAAGTTGGTTTGTATACAATGTGTCCATGACAAGGCACAGAGTGGACTGGCAAGCAGAAACAGACAAGAAGCCATGCGTCGCAAACTGCAGTAAAAAACCCCAGTTGACATGCATATTCCAAATGCTCTGTATACATGCCCTAATAATGCTATTAAAACCTATAATAATATTGGCATATTCCACATCTTAATCAGAAAATACTAAATTCAGAATATCTAAACGGAATATGCTGTTTCCATGACCCTTATCAAATTCAGAATATTGTCATATTCAGAATATAAGTGTGCATGTAAACATACCCAATGTCACCTCAACATTCAACTGCAAACAAAGGCCAATATTAAAATTTTAACTAGAAAAAATTTTGTGTAAAGCATATCAATTTTTCAGTTTTACATGCTCCCGTTAGGCAAAATCATCCGCCACCATGGTCTCAACTTCCATTCATATGCCGACGACACCCAGCTCTACATCAGTACAAAACCAACCATCAATTGACTCCTTGAAATAATATTCCTGGTTGACATCTAATCTACTCAAACTCAACAGTAACACGGCAGAGCTCATGGTTGTGGCCCCCAAGGCACTGCTCGGGAAGGTTGGGGATCTAATCCTAACCATTGACAGTGCCACCATCGTACTATCTGCTGAGGTCCACAACCTGGGAGTGATCCTTGACTCCACCCTCTCATTTCAGACCCACATCAAATCTGTCACCAAATCTGCTTTCCACCACCTGAAAAAACATCTCTAGACTCCGGCCATCACTCACAGACTCAGTTGCAGAAACACTCATCCACTCCTTCATCACTTCCCACCTGGAGTACTGCAATGGTGTCCTGTTCAGGGTTCCCAACAAAACCCTGGACAGGCTCCAATTTGTACAAAACTCAGCTGCCAGGGTCCTCACCCGCACAAGCCCTGGCAGCACATCACCCCCACCCTCATCCATCTGCACTGGCTCCCAGTCAAGTCCCGCATAATCTACAAAATCCTCCTCCTCACCTACAAGTCCCTCCATGCCCACACTCCACAGTACATAACCTACTGACCTCCTCCACCCCTACACTCCGTCCAGATCTCTGCGCTCCTCTGACTCCGGCCTACTCTTCATCCCTCACTCCTGCCTCCGAACTTTTGGTGACCGGGCCTTCAGCGTCGCTGCCCCCACCCTCTGGAACTCTCTCCCCCCCTGTAATCCGCAACGCCCCTTCACTGGACATTTTCAAATCCACCTTAAAAACTCATCTGTTCACCATAGCTTTTTAATTCAATAATCCATCTCATGCCCAGTGTACCATCACAGTTTCTCTGCCTTCTTCTGTTGTTTGTTGTAGTTTTGTTGCTTTTCTGTACTGCTTGTGTTGTATTGTACTGTTCTGTTGGTGTTATTGTTTCATTACTATGTATTGTAAAGTGACCTTGGGTTTCTTGAAAGGCGCTATATAAATTAAAGTTATTATTATGATTATAAAAAGATAACAGAAAGAATCTCTATCTTGCCATGCACAAATCTAAGGAATATCAAAGCAAAACTTAATTTCATAAAATTAATTAAGTTGCCACATTAAACAGATTTTCAACTGCATATCAAGAAACACAAGGTGAAACACTTTAACAAATATATTATAATTACAATATATTTCCATTTTGTCATCATCCATTTTTCCTGTTTTCATCCAGTTTGTTCCTTTCCGGGACTACATCGACCGTTCAGGGAACCAGGTCCTGAGCATGGCCCGACTGGCTAAAGACGTCCTGGCGGAGATCCCTGACCAGCTGCTATCCTTCATGAAGAGCCGTGGCATTGAACCCCGGCCCCCTCTGCCTGCCACTTCTGACTCCCCCTCAATGTCCACCACCACCACCAGTCTGGCCCCCAAGGAACGCAACATGCACGCCTGAGATGAGAGCAGCGAGCAGAGCAGTATAGTAGTCAGAGCTTTGAGCAAAAGGAGATGTGCGTTTGTGTGTGTGTGTGTGTGTGTGTGTGTGTGTGTGTGTGTGTGTGTGTGTGTGTGATTCCTGCATGGTTTCAGGGTTGGTTTACAGGAACCGAGTCAGGATTTTCACAGTAAATTGATGGGGACACCCACCAGAAGAGAATACATTAATTTACAAGCGTTGGTGGGGAGGATTCCTCCAACAAGATCTGGACTGGAAATGTAAAAAAAAAAGCACTTTTGATCCTTTTAACATTTCTGGTTCAGGCTTTTGTAAACACCTATCATGATGCACCCTCTGCAGGTGTAACACAACTCTGCAATTACCCACAGACTGCATTTAAATCAAAGGGACAAATGTAGTTTAGCACTTTTTCCTCACTTTTCAATTCCAACATTGTAGATGAGTGACTGAAGCCGCTATGGACTTCTTTGCCAACACAACTTCTCCTGCTTAGGTTGAGTCTACAGATCCGTCCTTTCAGTTTCTGTGACACTGTTCCTCCTCACAGCGATAAGAGTGTCTGCTGTAATAGAGTAATAAATCCTGAAGTAGCCAGGCAATTGATTTCCATCAGTTGTGAAGACGACAGCGCTGAGGCTGATGTCCTTTCCTTGTTTATTCTCAGGGCATTTCAAAGGCTTGACAGTAACACAGGCGATCTAAAAAACAAAGAAGCAGAAATTAAATCCTGTCCTGGTTGTGGCCTCTGAGAGCCAGTGAACACCAGTTCTTTTTATTACTTCATGAAAATGTATGCTGTATATTACTGTATGCTAAACATGAAATTCAAATGTGTCATTATGTAAAGAGGTGGAGAATGCTCTACATTTCAAGGTCAACATTCAGAGACTGAGCATCGGCAAGTTGAAACTAATCCCACTTGGATGCGAAGGGAGGCACTTACAAGCACATCCTGAAAGCAGGAAATATATATGGCCATGAAATTAGCTCGGGATGGAGAACAGACTTTAATATCCTCCACTCCAACACCTCCACTTCCTCCAGCCACCATACAATTTAATAATATCATGAAGAACTGGCTATTTCAGCCCCGGTTTCAAATCTGTGTTCTCTGCTGTCCCCCTTCTTCCTCTAAATTGTAACTCCCCCAGCTGGGGCTGTCATTTGGGATGAATCATTCATGAGGTGGGTGCCTCTGGTTCTCAAGCCGTCTGGAGCATGTACCTGTTTAAAATGAACAGAGTTGGTCACTGTGCATTTCACAGGCCAGAATATTTAATATGTAGCAGAGAATGTGTGAAAGCGTCAGGTCACCTTTATTTTTTTCATGTTTTTTTTTTTGTTTGTTTTTTACTGGAAAGAGGACACCACCAAAAAGAGCAAAAAGTGTGAGGGAGGCATGGTATGTAGTGCTGTGTCACAGCCCAGTTGCCAGGAGAAAATGTTGCCATTGTACGTTTCTGCAAATCACGAATATGATACATTTGCATGTTTCATATGTATCATATCAGTGTTTCTGAAGTGACGTAGTAGCCTACTTGAGCTGACTTTGTCATCAGTAGGCGGAGGGGATGCTAGATGGCCTGAAAACTAGGAGAGACGGCTGCCAAGCTGCAGACCACTGTTCAAGACCAACAAACCACAAAACTGATTTTTAGGCTTCAAATGTGCGTTTTTTTTTAGGGACCCATCACTGTTTTCCGAATCAGTCAATCAATCATTTGTCACGTGGAATTATGCAAGGTACAACTCCAGTAAAATATGATCCCATCAGCTCTTTTAACTTGTGCTCTGTAATTTAGTCATCTTTTTTACATCTTCTTACATTGTTGGCTGCTGCTTTATAATTGCCCATGTTTCCAGATGATTCTGGTAATTCATGGTTTCTGGTTGTGGCATGATTTAACTGTCCACACATCCCCACTTCGACAGGACAGCTGCGCTGCACTGCAGAAGCTTCTGAATGGCATATAGCAGTGATCCACTGCAGGAACCTGACAGCACCTCACATTCCCACAATAACACCAGTCTTTATTCACTGTAAAACACACGCCTCCTCTCCTTCCCTCTCCAGAGTCCTCTGCTCTGTCAGATCGGCATATAGAAAAAGAATCACTTGATTGAATGGCACTGTCCATGATTTAGCTAAGTTTTTGTGAATCAAAGATATTACAGTACCTGATATCCTGTTGGAAACTGATGCAGCACTGAGGTTGTCCAGTTTATTTTCCAATGTCTGTGCAATTGCTAGCAGGATGCTGGTTCAGCTGGTGCCATCTTCTCCATCTTTCACTCGATGTTAACTGATGTTTACATTTGAAAAACCTCGACCTGACTAGCTGGCAGAGTTAATAGAAGGAGAGTTTACAGACTTGTGAGTTGTTGACTCACAGTAACACACCACCACTGTCCATACAATTTTTTTTAATGCATCTGCTACACCATGACATGGAAATGTAATGCATCCATGGTTTGCAGAAATGTACAATGCCACCATTTTTTTCTGGCAGTTGGGTTGTGTGTCAAAAGTCACTCAGACCGACTACTTTTGGAAATACTGGCACAGTTTTCCCTCATCAGTGCTGCTGTTTGATATATGGCTGTATATTTCCTGCAGCTGTCAGTCAGGGCTCATCAGCTTCTGTAGACTAAACACATTGATTTGCAATGAATGCTGACTTTTTTCCAAACATGCTCTTTTATTTATAATTTCATTTGTTATGCCTTTGTTGTGTGCATGAATGAGTCAAGCAAAAGTGAGCGAGTGCTTCAGTAGAAACCCCACATTAATTTTACTGTGACAGGCTGTGCTCTCTTTTCCTCACACACACTCCCAAAAACTGTGCAGTTCGGTCACAACTTTTTGTTTCTTGTTGTAGGCTTAGCAAACAACTATAGGAGTGTTTCAACCTAACAGCATCACAAAAATAGAAAGACGGTGAGGTCTGTAAAGCCAAGAATAACGTCAGTGAATGGATTCATCAGGATTTGTCTGGATTATTAAGCATGTGTTGTATCAGAAAGGAAATGGATATGTGGCCTTATTTCTGTCATAATCCTACAAGTATGTGCAGGGGAGGACTCTATTTTTATATGACAAAATGGGAAATTCATGTTACTTTGCATGCTTATTTGGCTGATATGCTGCCAATGATTGTACTTGTTCAGAAAAAAATGTATGTGTATCTTTATTCATATCTGAAAATGACTTCAGACAACATTCCTACATGTGTATACTTGTGTACTGTGCAGGATCATTCTTTCTGTTCCTACTGTTTTTGTGTACGGTATACTTGAAGGAACTGCCAATTTAATAATCCAAAACATATAGGAGATACACGAATAGTATGCATGCATGTGTGTGTTGTGGTCAACAAGTACACCAACCCAGAGTCATGAATACTTTTCTATGAAGCATGTTGAGCTTTCTATACAGTGTGTACAGTATTAGTTAATTACACTGACAGACAATATACTGATCACTACTTCTCCCTAGTTTAGTGTGCTCCATACAGGATACATGTAGGTAAAATGTAAAATACATCTAAAGTGATGTACAGAATATTTTGTGAAGTCTTCCTTCTTTCCATTTTGTTCCCCTCTAATATGTCTTTGTTATTTTTGTCTCCATTTGTGTTGGTCAGAACTTATTTATAGGTTTGTCAGTGTTTTCTAGCTTCTGCTTAGAAACCAAATAAAGATATTGTTCAAGGCTTAACTCAAGTGTGTGCTTGACAGAAATTAATGGGTTATGTTAGGAACTGTACAAAAATTATTAAAAGGGGAAGGCATTTCAAATATAATTTTTTTAAGCACAGGGGAGGGACTTACATTTGTAATATTCACTTAGGGGTGGGGTATACAAATGTAAATGATTGTATTTTGTATTTATTTTATTGCTGGTTTTTAAAAAAAAACATGCCTTACAGACCCTTATTTTCTCCACCATTTATCATAGCCATAAACTGTAAAAAAAAAAAAAAAAAAAAAAAAAAGAAAGAAAGAAATTATCTTTGGATTTGTGTTGTGAACACTTCCTTAAAAAAAACAACAAAAAAAATCCAAATCCATAACCAAATCTGAGCTTAACATGTGGATATTTCATCAAAATCACTTTGGTCTATGTCTGATTTAAAATGTGGCCAAAAAGAAATTGATTGCATAAACTAACCCATACGCAGGATTGAAAAACCAAGGCTTTTTCAACTCCAGGATTTCTTCTACAACTTTGAACTTTCAAACATCAAGGGGTAAGGGGTTTTTAAAAATCTAATATCTAATTTATTATGGGGGAAGAATCATGCCTTTTTTCACCAGCCACTCTGGAAGGCTCAAGGAAAAAAATTGAAGCATTGGGTCGGGTCCAAGACAAAAGAAAAAAAGTCACCCCCCTCCTCTAATGAATAAAAAACAGTCCCATAGTGTGTACATTGGGTCATAAAGGCACTATTTGCCATATGCAGAGGAAAAAAGATCTAGTCTGTGTTTGGGGTTTTTATTTTTACTTTAACCTGAATCATAACAGACAGTAAACAAGTCATGTGTGATATAAATTAGGCTATATAATTATAATTATTGTTCAGCCTTTAATTTACTATCCCTTATTAAAAAATGGATAGTGACTGGAATATTAAATAATAATACAATAATATATATTTAAAAAAGCAAATTCCACTCTAATATCGTGTAGTAGATGACTGAGCGATGATTGAGTGATTTTTTAAATTTAACATATGATGTTTTATTTCCCAGGACATGCTTATACTATCAAAACGTCAAAATCAGATGTACAATTGTAATAGCGAAGTGTGAATCTTTAATGCCATGCCATTTATATACTGGTTAAATCACGGAGGATAATAAAATTCAATAGTGTTTCTTCTAAGAAGGATTTTTCAATGTTTTATGGTACTACGCTGCCACTCAGTGGAATTACAATGAAAGAACACTGTAAAGGACTGGGATGTTGATTAGGCCTTATGAAGATTAGAAGTTGAAAAAGATCTTTGGCTTCACATTTTAATTAAAAATTAAAGCCTAATTAGTAGATAGATCATACAAATCATCAGCATCTATACATGCTACTCATTGGTAAAAAATAAATCTCACTCGGATCCACTGCTACAAAATCCACTCCACAGTTTCACTAAATGACGCTAATGCTGCCTTCAGGTACTCCACGTAACTTCTACTTCAAGCTTTGACGGATCTACTGTACACGGTCTTTATAAAAAAAAAAAAAAAGACCCTCTTGCAAAGTAAGTAGTTTTTTTATCATACTGCTACCCTTTACTGAAATGACCAACCGAAACACAAAACTCAGAGTGCATGTGTACATCAGTAATATAGCCTATGGGTACATATGGCTACACCTTTACTGTCCTACAAGTTAAATCCCTATTATTTACATCATTGAACTTCATACAGGAAATTCCCATTTTCACAAGGCTTTGGTATAATTAGTTGACACATTTTATATACTGTAGAGCGAGAAACAATGTCCGCACACCAAAAAGCTCCAATGGAGTATTTATCACAGCATGACGTTTCGAGCCAAACGGCTCTTCCTCTGATGTTTACAAACGAAACTGAATAGGCAGAAAGACGGCATCTTTAAAGGTCCCAGTGCCAGGACACGTGACACGGCACATCAGGTGTGCATTTTCATAAACATCTACTGATACCATACCATATACAATAATAATAGAAAGACCTTTCAAAAAAAGTTTCCAAAAAATACACAGAAATACAAATAAATACATATATCCAAATAGATTTTATTTTCCCCTAAAGGTCTCAGGCTGTAAAGGCCGTCATACTACATGAAAACTATAAGAGGTGCCTCTTTTTAGTAATTGATAAATAATAGAGGGACAATGATACTCACGAAGAACACTCAGAAAAATGAAGACATCAGTAGTTATCAAACTACATAGCGGAGATAGGCCAGTATCAATATAAATCCCTCTCTCACCCATGCATGTCTGCTCTAAGCAAAGGTCTCCCTTTGTACCAACCACACGCTGTAATGACTTTAATACAGTCATAGACATTAAAAAAATTCTTCCGTACACTAAGATTAAAATATTTTTTTAAAGGACAACAAAACGAATCGAATATATCCAACCACCCGACCCCCCCAGGAAGATATCATCACCTACCAACCGAGGGGAAACGATACATCTGCAACCCGGCCCACCCCGTTATCCTCTGCTACACCATCCACCCCTTTCAGAGGTAAATCCACTTTCATACCACCTAAACACAGAAACTCATCTTTGGATATGTACTGTTGCCTTGTTGAAAGAGATACATCTGAAATTATAAAGAAGAAGAGGGAATATAAAGTAGCTAATAACAGCTGTAACAAAAGAACAACGTAATGAACTAAGGGCCTTAAAGGAGGATGCAACTGTGGTGATACAAAGTGCAGATAAAGGAGGGGCCATTGTGGTTTTAGACTGCAAAGCATATGACAGTGAGGTGAGTAGGCAACTATCTAACACCAACTTTTATAGACAACTGACCCATAACCCCATAGCAGAAATCAAACAACATATACATAATAAACTTCACACCTTCCTGGAAGGAAGACACATAACAAAACATGAACATGCATTTATGAATGTTGAATCCTCATGTTAATCTGGTCTTCTAAACACTACCAAAAATTCATAAAACATTTACGGACACACACACTCCCAGGGAGACCTATCATTGCAGCCATTGGCTCAATAACAGAGAAAATATCAACCTTTGTGGACCATTTTTTACAACCTTTGGTTACCACATTACCCTCATATACAAAGGATGGACTTTATCAAAATCATTAATTCCATTGAACATGTGGAGGACACACGTTTATTAGTGACCATGGATATTGAATCTCTACACGAATGTTCCATTTGAAGGGGGCCTCCTGGCCACACAGTATTTTCTGGATGAAAGACCTGAGTGTAACCCCAGTACAGCTGTTATATTGGCCTTATTAAGGAAATACTTACTTCCATTTTTTTCATGTATGGTAATGATTTCTTCCTGCAGACCTCCAGAGTGGCCATGGGATCAAAGATGTCACCCAGCTTTGCCTCTTTATATATGGGATACTTTGAACACAATATCATTTTCAACACTCTGGAGAATCCCTTCCTTCAGCACATCAAACACTGGAAGAGGTACTTAGATGACGTTTTTCTTCATATGGACTGGTTCAGTCCCACAGCTTCAGGAATTTCACCACTTCATCAATTCCAAAAACAAACATCTCCAGTTCACTATGCTGTCTGATACCAATTAAATGAACTTTTTGGATGTTCTGCAGATTAAAGAGAAGGATGACCTGAGAACTAATCTATACCATAAACCTACAGACAGAAACTCTCTTCTTCATGGGGAGTCATACCATCCTACTCATTTAAAAAAGAATCTTCCCATCTCTCAGTTCAACCGTATCAGATGCATTTGCAGCTCAGATGAAGACTATAATAAACAAACCATTGATCTACAAAACCGCTTCAGACAAAGAGGCTACAAAGAGGCCTGGATTAGCAATGCTGCCTTGCGCTTCTCCTGTGTTTAACAGTACCAGCCTTTCCAACATCAGGCCTAAGGAGTCAGAACAGAGAACTGTTTGTGCTATACAATACTCACTGGTTTCAAAGGACATAGAAAAGATCATTAAAAACACTGGCATGTCACTGAAACAAATCCAGCCTTGAAAAACTGTTTTTAAAACCACCTAGAGTGGTCCTTAAAAGGCCCCCACATCTGCGTAACATGTTGGTGAGGGCTGACCTCCCCCTCCAGTCACCATCTCATTTCCTCAGCTCAATCCCTTCTGGTAACTATCCTTGTGGTCGGTGCCAACAATGCCACTTTACACACAAAACTAATACTTTTAACCATCCGCACACAGGGAAAAAATACATCATAAAAGGATTGATTTCATGTTCCGCTACCAATGTCATTTGTATGCTCAAATGTCCTTGTGGTTTGGCATATATCGGAAAAACAAACAGACAGCTGAAGACACACATTGCTGAACACCAGAGTACCATTAGAAATAAAGTTGCCTCTAGCCCTGTGGCTGTACACTTTGCTGAAGCCAAACGCATCGTTTCCACTTTAAAATATATTGGGATTGAAGCTCTCAAATTTCCACGCAGAGGGGATGACCTTAACTCTATGCTCCTTAAACGTGAACTGTTTTGGATCCATACACTGGGTATGCTGGCTCCCAAGGGCCTGAATGAGGACTTTGATGTTAGACCTTTTCTGTAGACGTGTGGTCTGCTCTATGATGTGTCCCCTTTTTTCAAGATGCTGTGTTTTTTTCTGATATCTGTTAGAGGATGTTTCTATATGGACATTTCTATGCACATATTGAGGTTAATATCATGACTATATGATCATTGTGGGTCTTTTTCAATGTAAATTGTCATGCTATTAATATTGATACTGGTCTATCTCCACTATGTAGTTTGATGATGTCTTCAGTTTTCTGAGTGTTCTTCATGAGTATCATTGTCCCTCTAGTATTTATCAATTATTAAAAAGAGGTGCCTCTTACAGTTTTTATGTAGTATGACAGCCTTTACAGCTTGAGTCCTTTAGGGACAAATTGTACCCATTTTTCACGTGTTTAAATTAAATATCAAAGATTTTTCTCATGCTCTCAATAGATATATTTCTCTCAAATTTTGATTGCAAATTTGCTAA